GTATCTTATAATCTAATAAACACCTTACAGACCTTCCATGTTCTAATTAAGTAGTGTAGCCCTTATGGCAACCCTGTTTTTGCCCTTAGAGCCACCCTTATAGCCGTACTTGTCAGCCAGAGGTGCCAAAGAACCAGTAGTCCAACCGGCGGCTGCAGGTGTCTTCATTTGCACCGTAGTCTGGGACGTAAAGAAAGCCCAGGACGCCTGGAACCGGAATGGTGCAAGGCTTGGTTTGATATTGAGCTTCGGGTTGTTTTTAGGGTAAGGTTTAGGGTTTAGGGTTGTATAGGATTTAGTTAGGCTTTAGGGTTCCAGGCTCCAGGCCTATGCAGGTTTGTTGTGAGGGGCCTCATCCTCGAGCAGATTAGCGTCTCCAGCTGGAGTGGCTCGCAAGGCATTCTGCTGCTTCAATTCTCAACATCCACAACTTTGCAAGTTTCCGGAAGATGCAGAACCATGCTGGACCATACTCATGTCGCTGTTTCATAGGCTCGTGTGCTACTTCCTTCTGGTCGTTGGGGGTTGGGACTGTGACTGCGAACCTGCCATCTGCATACAGGAACACCACTGAAAGATCGAGGGCACTCCGAATATGGCCTTGCCGGGTATGCGAGTATGCCATGACATCCTAGAGATGTTGGGGGAACAGCTGGGCAATATCTTCGTGGCAGAACATTGGCCATGGGATTAAATCTTCATGTAAACCCAAGATCAAGCAGTGCTTTACATACCCGAAACGACATGAAGCAGGGCTGCTATTCCTGCAATCCCCATTGTCAAGACCCTAAGATATACAGCCGCCAGTCTTCCAAAGGGTCCCCACCGAGACCCACCAAAACCTCTAAGTAAGACCCTAATTCATATCCCAAGCCCTGAAATCATGCTAGAAGGATGAAAAATTAGGGCCCCCAAAAAGCACATAAGCAAAAAATGAGGGCAGGGATATCCCATATAAACGCCCCCTAAAGAGGAAGGCCAATAAGGTAGGGACGTCCCCATAAAATGCTTACGCTTGTGCTTTTTGAGTCCCTAAAAAAACGAAGTCCTGTCTCCTCTGAAAGCCCTCGAGCGCAGAACAAATCCCCTGAGCCCAAGGCAAATGAATCCGAGCTTGCCAACGACCTCAGCTCGATCAGGGCTTGGGGCTAACTTACCTTTGGTTAGTAGGGAATGGAGGAATGGGGCACAGTTATAACTACTATTACTACCATTCTTCCATTCCCTACTAACCAAAGGTAGGCTAAGAGCCCACAGGCTAGAGGGTTTTTTGGCGGATTTTGGCGATTGGGGTCTGCGGTTGGTGCCGGGCTCTAGCTTCGGAAGTGTAGGTTCTTTGGGGACAGGCCTAGAGAAAAGAGGACGGGTTGCTGATGTTTGTATGCTGCCTTCATGTTGATGAAGACGTAGCCCTCGCTGTCAGTCTTCTGTTCTGTCTTCGCTCTGTGTTCTTCTCGCTTCGTGAAGACGGGTGCACGAGTGCGTGTGAGCCTTCTGAGTTTGTCAGGTATTTTGCCAGATTCCAGTGGATTGCTTTGTTTCAATTGTCTTGGCCGTTGAGGACCGTATAGTCTCAAGAGGAATACGGGTTTCCAAGATTGCGATGTGAGTTGAGGAGCCTGAAACAGTACTTAGAGGCTCAGGGTTCTTAGTAGAAAGTAAGTACTAAGTAGGGTGCGAAATAGGCCAACTCCAATTCGAGTGCTATGCCCCACTTTTACAACCTACTACTAAATCCCCTGAATGTTTAAGGGCAGTGGGATTTTGTACTCTTGGATGGACTCTAGAAGAATTCGACTGTAAACCCTGATGAGAAAACTGCCCTTTCTGAGAAGGAATTCTCACCCCCTGCTAACAGGGATAGCAGGGATCCTATTGGTCAACCTCAGTCTTTCGGCCTAGCGTCGCGATTTTACAGAGTGGAGGGGCTTGAGATGTCGCTCCGGTCTTGGCATCTATGCAGTACAGGTTTGAAGGTGTGGTTAAGCGGGAGCGCGTTGCTACCACGACAGCAAAAAAGAATCCACACAGTGTGCCCCTAAACCCTGTCGTGGTAAGGACCTACTCCTTTGGTGGTGCAAGAAAAGTACAAAGACAACAGTCATGCGTGAAGCAAGCCTGGTGGTCGGTCACAGTACAGGGTAATGGCGCTATCGCATAGAACTCACACTCAGGGGCCCTGACCGCCCTAGCCCTAAGACATCCTAAGACCCCATACGCCCCGGCAATTTCACCCTTTAGCCATTGGGGAAGGAATTTGGAAGAAGGCCCCGCGGCTAAATCCCATAAACCCTTGGAGGCCCTTACCCCGAGAATTCCCTGACCTAACCACCCGAAGCACTCTTTTCTCGTCTCGCATGCTCCTCAGAAACTGCATCGGGCTCAGCGTCCTCGAGATCCTGGGTGGCTTAGCTCTCAGGTCTCCACTCCATGTTTTGGGGCTCCGGCAGAATGGCTTTGTGTTGGACATTGGAGAGGGTGGGTTTAGGGTTTAAGGTGGGTGCATCAAACTGTCAGAAAACAGGGGCGCCCGAACATAAGCCTAACGAGCAGACTCCTGAAGATCCCCCAGGAAGGGACAACTTCTCCTCCGGACCTTGGCGGGAAACTTTCACGCCTTCAAGAATCCCTTAACCCTAAGCCCGAAACCCTAAACCCAAACTCCAAAAAAACGACTCCCCAAGGGCTTTACAAATCGTAAACCTTCCTTTCGAAACCGGTGCTTTCAACTCGAACCCATAAAACCTAAACACAAACACCCCTTGGCCCTAGAACCCCCAACCGAACCCGAAACCCCGAAATCCTAAACCCCTAAATCCCCAACCACAAATCCTCCCTAAACCCTGAACCCCCAAACCCCTAAATCCCAAACCATGAATCCCTAAACCCTAAACCCTCCACACGCCTAAACCCAAAGTTTGGTGGACGAAGCTGAGTTTCCGAAAATAGGGGACCCTAATAGTACAGCACCCTGAATAGTATAGGATCCTTATTATAAGGACCCCACAAAATAAGGCACCCCCCTAATTTTCGGAAACCCTAAACCCTTTATAGAACCCTTATACATCCATTTAAGGAGCCGTTTTTGGATCCCCACTAACTTCCGGAAACTCCAAAATCCTCCCCAACTCTGTGGACGAAGCTGCGACCCGCTCCAACCAGAGACCCTGGGCCGGAGCTTTGGGCGGACGCAGCCGGGGCAGGTCCTGGCCAAGGCCCTAGGGTTTAGGGTTTAATTAGGGTTTTAGGGTAAATTAGGCGACCCTTAGGGTTCCTTCAAAAGGTTACTATAAGGGTACTATAGAGGTTCCTTTAAAGGGCTCTATAAGAGTTTAGAGTTTTGGGTTTTAGGGTTTGGGGTTATCGGGCTTCAGCGTTTAGGGTCGTAGGGTATAGGGTCTACTTGGAGGGTCGGGGGACCCAGTAATGTCGAGTAAGCAGGTAATTGCCCAAGTCAGAAGTACCCTGACAAGGATCCGAATCGAGGTTGTGATGCGAATAACTCCAGAGAGCCTGCTAGAAGGGTCCGACAACCCTTAACCAAAACTGCCTTAACCCCTAGACACCCTAAATCCTAAACCTGGAGTACTAGAACCCTTAAATCCAAACCTGCATTTCGCCCGAAACCCTAAATCCAATACCCTAAGTACTTCCACCCGAAGTGCCCTGGACCCTACACTCTGAACCCTAAACCTACGAACAGAATTTCTAAGCCCTGAACCTAGACTCAAGAAACCCTAAACTCCCTAAACCCTAAACCCCCTAAGCCCTAGACCCTAAGCCCTAAACTCCTTAAACCCTAAGCCCTAAACTCCCTAAACCCTAAGCCCTAAACTCCCTAAACCCTAAGCCCTAAACTCCCTAAACCCTAAGCCCCAAAACCCTAACTAAGCCCTAAACTCCAAAACCCTAAGCCCTAAACTCCCTAAACCCTAAACCCCCTGAGCCCTAGACCCTAAGCCCTAAACTCCCCAAGCCCCCTAAACCCTAAGCAAACCGGCCCAGGCCCCGGACCTCGGCGCAGTGGGGACCGAGGAGTCCGAAAGCTCGCGTCGGCGGCGAATCCCCCGAGCCCACCTTTCGGATGTGGGGGCTTTATAGGGTTTAGGGTTATAGGGTTTATCGAGTTTAGGGTTATAGGGTTTTAGGGTGTTTTGGTGGCATTTTGGGTTTTAGGGTTTAGGGGTGTAAGGTTATAGGGTAGCAGAGTTTAGGGTTTCCGGTTTTAGGGTTGAGGGTTTAGAGCTATTGGGCTCAAGATTTTAGGGTCTAGGGTTTTTGGGGTGTATAGGGTTTAGTTCAGGGTATATGGAGTTTACAAGGTTTCGTCCGGACGTGGCTTATGGTCTTGGGTTTAGGGTATATAGGGTTTGCAGGGTTTAAGTTTAGGGTTTCGTAGAGTTTAAGGTTTCGGGTTCATGGTGTAGTTTAGGGCTGAAGGCTTAGAGCCAGTATAGTGGCCGTGTACAACACGAACAAAACATTTGTTGTGCTGGTTCGTTCTTGGGGAGACGGAGTGTATAAGTCTACAAAGAACACTGAGGAATAGTACAGAATAGTACGAGAAAGTACATGTTCTTCCGTTCGGCTATCTTGAATTGAAAATCATGATTGCACGGTTTCTAGCATGGATTGGGCGGATCTTTGAGTGCTTGTCAGTATAGGGCCCATATGGGCCCATCATCATCAACATAGGGTCGAGCGCCGTTGCCTTTTCACAAAACCCCTCAACACTGAGTGTTAGATGAAGCAGGGCACACAGGGGAAGCCCAATGGTTTTAGATCTGTGCATCGAAGTACCATGTCTGTGCTTCCCAAATTTTGGGGTTTAGGGTTTGAGGGTTTAGGGTTCTATGATTCTACATCTAATCTTATAGGTTTTAGGATGGTTTAGGGCTTAAGGGTTTACGGTTCTATGATTCTGCTTCTAATCTTATAGTCTTGGCAACTGTTGGTTGCGTTCTTTTTTGTTCCAGCACGCGAAGGCGCTATGTCACCAGTCATGGTGGTCCGCAGTAACCCGGCCCGCCCTGCAGATCAAGCGGGTAGGAGTCCATGAGGAAGCGGACAAGCCCAGCAACATGGTACCTTGGGGTTCGAGTTTAGCTTAGGGCCGTATGGTGACATGGTTTTGGGGTATACGGGGTTTACGGACTTTGGGGGCTTCAGGCCATTGCTATCATTAATTACGGCTGTTCTGAGAAGTTTCTTTCAAGGCGCGTGAGCACTGCCGCATCGTCGTCGCCCCCAAACAGACCATTGGCCAATCTTGCCTCGTCAGCGGACAGGCTCTGCCGGACTCGCTCATAGCGCGGCTGCACAAGACGCGCCAGGTCCTGTCACAAGAAACTTCGGAATTACTCCACCAAGTCATTTCTGAAATAGTCTATAGGCCCGATACCCTAAACCCTGAACCCCACTGTGTTCTTCTGCATATGAGCTTGAGGAAGTGGATTGCAATCCGATAGCCCCCCACCACACCCCTGGTCTACCAACTTGGCTCGATTTATGGCTTAAAGCGAGGGCCTAATATGGTCTTTCGCTTCTAGCTCAATGCTGCTGGTATATACTCCCAGCTCCGTGCTCCTGGTACATACGGAGGCGTTAGGCATGCCAAGCTAGTATAGCGAAGAATAGCGGTAGCCTAATCCCCACCCCATGAACCCGATTGTAAAACCCTAAACCCCAATCCCGAAACCCCAAAGCCGACGATATTTACACCACTGTAAACCCTCAGCCCCCAATCCCTAAACCCCTATCCTGCCTCGGGCACCGTGAGCCAGACGCCCAGGGCGTCGTCTTTGGGCGCTGCGGCTGCCTCTTGGCGCTCGTCGTACTTTGGATCTATGACCTGACTCTGAAGCGACGTGGTAACTTACCTTTGGTTGGTAGGGAATGGAAGAATGGTGGCAATAGTTGGTATAATTGTACCCCATTCCTCCATTCCCTACTAACCAATGGTAACGTAAGTAGGGTTGAGGGTTTGGGGTTTCGGGACCAGGACTTTAAGATTCTGTGTCCAGGGCTCAGGAGTTTAAGTTTAGGGCTCGGGCACTGCTTGAAACGGATCAGGAACCTTTGTCGGTAGGACAAATATGCGTTGTAAGTGCCCTCAACCGGGACTCTACCGTCCACGACACGACACTCACAGCCGTTGCTACGTCAGTTATAATTGGGGCTATAAGTCCCCTAAGTGGGGTTATCCTAATTATACTTATAACCTTACATACTAAGTCCCATTTGCTACGTCTAAACCCTAAACCCAAAACCCTAAACCCCTAAACCCTAAACCCCTAAACCCTAAACTTTTTCCTAGACCCTAAATTTTTCAACAGCAAGACCTAAACCCCTAAACCCTAAACCCTAAAACCCTAAACCCTAAACCCCTAACCCCTGAACCCTAAACCCCTAAACCCCTATAAACCCTAAACCCTACGTCTCTTCCTGGCTCCCACCTGGCGCCAATCCGGCACCCAAGCCTTCATCGGAGATTCTGGCCGACGCTCGTCCTTGGGTTTCTTGGATTTCCATCTTCTTGAACTTACCCTTGGGTTTAGGGTTTAGGGTTTAGGGGTTTAGGGTTTAGGGTTTAGGGAGGAATGGGGTACAGTTATAACTACTATATAACTACCATTCTTCCATTCCCTACTAACAAAAGGTAAGTGGAGAGGGGTTATAGGGCTTAGGATTTTGGGTTGCGAGTTTTTGTAAAGTCTGGGCATTTTGCAGTGCCTTTGGCTTCAGGATCCATTTTTCCTTTCGGGCTCTCCAAACCATTCCAGTTGACCCCAAAACCCTGAACATTCTAGACACCTTGTAGATCCGCCCTCAACCCTACCCCAACCCCGAAACCCTAAAGCCTAAACCCTAAAACCCCAAACCCTAAACCCCAAACCCTAAAACCCTAAAATCCAAAAACCTCAAAACCCTAAACCCTACGCCCAGAAGAGGCACCAGATAGGGACCGAAATCGCCCAGCTCCACCACCGACGCTGGGAGATTCCCGAAACCCCGAAGTTGCTGTAGCGCCTCCCGTCTCTTCGAGGAGCTTATGCCATTTGGGAGCTTCCGAAAAAATCGGGGGATCCTTCTAAGGCTCCTTAAAGGGATGTATAAGGGTTCTATAAAGGGTTTAGGTTGTTTTTTTAAGGGCCTCTTTCCATTCCCGCAAAGGGTCTATAGAGTTTAGGGTTTAGGGTTTCCGAAAATTAGGGGGTACTTGATTTTGGGGGTCCTTATAATAAGGATCCTACTATTTAGGGGTCCCCAATTTCCGGAAACTACCATTTTTGTTAATGGTGCTTAGCCTTTGCTTTCAAAGGTGCTTGGGGTTTGGGGTTTCGCGGGTTGGGGTTTGGGGTTTGGGATTTCGGGTTTGGGGTTGCCAGAAAGTTTGTCTCAAAAGCATATAGGATAGATGCCTTCATAATTTGAATAGTGACTTCTAGTATAGTTACTCTAAATAAGGAAACCTGGGGAATAGTACTGCCGAATGCCCGACACCTACTTGGGCTCATTGGGTTTGGGTGTGTGTGTGTGTGTGTAGGGTTCAAGCCTTGCAGTGGAAAAGAGGTCTCGGATTTAGTCTTAGTGCTCATGAAGTCCTAAATCCTAAACCGTCGGATTTAGTCTTAGTGCTCATGCGCAGGGTTTGGAGGGCATAGGATTTGGGGTTCAGGGCTTTGCGGAGCTTAAAGGCTTCGTGGTAAGGTTGCCCCAAACTCTATTAACCCTAAACCCTTAAGCTTTGCCCTAGACCCCAAATTCTAAACCCTAAACAACATCCTAAACCCTAAACCCTTAAACTTTGCCCTACACCCTACAGGGGTGTGTCGGGTTCATGAGCTTCGTCTGAAGGCCTCGGCATCGACGCAGACCACCACATCGTAGAAGCTCAAGTCAGAAGTCTTCAATATTTCCTCTTTGGAGTCCAGGGGCGTAGTGTTTGGGTTTAAGGGATTAGGATAGTCAGAAGTCTTCAATATGTCCTGTTTGGAGAGTCTAGGGACTTAGGTTTAGGGTTCATAGGGATGAAGGGATTTCCTGCTTGGAGGGTCTAGGGACTTAGTGTTTGGGTGCAACGGATTAGGATTGAGGTTTTAGGGTGAAGGGTTTTGGAGCGCCTAATTAAACCTTAAGTACCTTCATCAGCCTGGCTCCTCCAAAACCCTACACCCAACATCCTCAATCCTAATCCCTTATACCCAAACACTAAGTCCCTAGACCCTCCAAACAGGAGATCCCTTCATCCCGAAAACCCCTAAACCTAAGTCCCTACCACCATGGTACCTCTATCGACCCCTCTTGGAGAATATGGGGGGTGTAGGAATAAAGACCCATTATGATCTCTTCTTGTATATCTTCATCTACTCCCGAATCTTATTCTAATGAATACCTAGTGGCTCCATAGTAGTTCCTTTTCGTGGTTAATATTCCGAATCCTAAACGTAAGGTAATCCCAAGGACGAACTACTATGGAGCCTATATTGGTAAAGCTCCTATCTTCGCCTTTCCCGCTCTCCTCCACGTCCCGGGATGTCCAGCGAGGCGCCAGCTTCAGCTTTTCTGCGGCGGTGTCCGGCAAATATCCGGCACTGCCTTCTTAGCAGTTGATATAGGGGCCTAAATAAAAAAGACTACTCTTGTGGGAGCTTCCTTAATACTTATTTTTTATCATGGGCGCCCAAGCCCTATATTCTAATGATTAGAGCTCCTTTTCCGATTCTCAGGCAAACTGCTCTAGCAATCTTTTCGAAGAATGGCTCTAATGTAGGAACCTGATTAAGAAACCTTGGGCCTTTATTAGGGTTCCTTAGTTCCTACTATTTTTGGGTTATAGGCCCAGGCTTTCTCAATCAGGTTCCTACATTCGGGTCCGAGGGGGCAGGGTTCCAAAAATGGGCACGAACAAACTCCCAGCAAGGCAGACAGTTTCAACAAGCTGTTCCTACTGATTGTCTGCAGAACTACCTAGAGGCTCATAGTAGTTCCTTTTCGTGGTTCATTTCTTAGAACCCTATAAGTTATTGTAAGGTAATCCCAAGAAGGAACTACTATGGAGCATATGGGTAGATTAAAACAGCCCCCGCTTCTCGAGGTATCATCGGCAAAGAAGCCAGGGGCTCGGATCCCCTGGATCTTACGGCGCTCTGTGGACGGGGATTTGGGCTTTGATAGGGTTTAGGGTTTAGGGGTCCAGGGGTTTAGGGTTTAGGGTTTATAATTTCATGAGGATTTAGAGTTTTTTGGCTTAGGGGTTACATTTTTTTGGTGGGTTACGTTAACTTTCTGATAGAAGCAGCACCCTCGGTTGCGGGCGTAGGGTTCAACTCTTGGGGGGATCTCCGGGCTTCGGGATTGAAACCCATCCAAAACAACCTACCGTTTAAAGACTCATTTCAGGAAGTCATCAGAAGATATCATACGGTTTAGGGTTTAGGGTTTAGGGTTCATAAGGAAGCTTCAGAAGGCAGGGTATGGGGGGTTAAGGTAGGCTCCGGTGTGATGCGGCTGCTGGAACCGCATAGTTCGCATCACGCAACTTCCAAAGCGGCCAGCGACAAGTGCCGGGTTTCAGAAAACGAGGAGCCCACTCATGTTTTACTAAATGAAAGCGTCCTGATAAAGAGGCACCGCTCTGTTACATACCATGGTCTGTTTTAGGGTCCCTTGTTTGCTGAACTCGTGCGTATTCGTCATGAGACGGATGGAGCTCTACGAAGCTGTCGCAGTGCACGGGAACCCTCACAGCCCCAAACCCCTAAACCCCGAAGCCTGTAACCCGTCATACACCCTAGACCCCCAAACCCTATATTCAACCCCTTTTGATCTATCCTCAAGCTTCTGGCTTAACTAAACTCGCACAGAGGAACCACCGGTGGTCGCGGCTTCCACCGGGAGTGCCCCAGCGCAGCTATGCTCCTGCTTCTCAGCCCCTCCGCTCTGAACCCCAAAGGACTATGAGGGACACAAAAGGCACGTAAGCATGAGCATCTTATAGGGATATCCCGACCTTATTGGGCTTCATTATAAGGGGGTGTGTATGGGCTATCCCCATCCTATTGTTTGCTTGTGTGCTTTTTTGCGGCCCTAGACTAGGCCCGGTCCAATCAAGCCCAACCGGGGCTGGGGGAATCATGGTGGCAAAACAGGTTGACAAAACAGGGGCTACAACAGGTGACACGACTACTTGCTATTCAGATGTCTATGTTCGGTCAAGGCTATGAGGAGCTTGGTTTCGGTTTTTCAAGGCTGGGTGTTGGTTTAGGGTTTAGGGTTAGGTTGAAAGATGAAAAGCTGAACTTAATTGAGGGTCAAAAACCCTCAAGAACAAAGCTCAAACTCGCCTTGCATGCAGGGCTTCAGCCACCGGGAAACCTAGAAATCTCGTCTGACCAACAATGCATCCGTCGGTCCTGGGCGATGCGCTCGAAAAGACCGGCAGCGACACGCGACCGGCCGCTGCCGTCGCCCTCCAGAAACACCACCTGACATCTAGGTCAGGGTCTACTTATATAGGTTTTCGGGTTAGGGTTTAGGATGGTTTAGGGTTCAGGTCTTCCGAGTCTGAGCCTGACGAATGATGATGACGATGATAACGACAGCGGCGATAACTGTGATGGTCGTGATGGGAATGAGTTTGAAGCTGATGATGACGATGACCGTTCCTTGAAACAAAGTTCTTGATGTGGGCTGCAGTGAATAACATTTGGCAGGGCCTTATGCAGAGGGACATAGCATTCCATCTATGGACATGCTACTGTTGCGAATTAACTAAGGTTCATAGATAAATACCGAGAGCGCAACGTTTGCCAGCCATGTTTACAAAAGTTCAGATATAGATGAGGAGATGGAGATTGATTGGGTCTTGGACGTTTGGGCCACACAAGGTCGAGGATTCCAAGCGTTTGAAGTGAGGCAGGTCAAGAAGCTGGGGCTGGAGGAGGGAATTCAACGTCTTTGAACCCTAAATCCACAGGCCTACGACAGACATAGACACCCCACCAGCCTAAACCTAGTTCCTGCTCGACCTTGAATACCTTAAATCACGGTCAACCCTAACCCACCCCAAACCCTAAACCCTCGCCCACATCGCTCCAATGGTCAGAGGCTTCCGGTGCGACGCCTTACATGCATTCCTTACAAGAAAGCTCCCGGTCAGGACCACCGGCAAAGAAAGTTTTAAATGTAGTGCAGTCATCTAATAGAGTTGTATAGAGCCTTGTTGGAATCCATCGTAGGGATTTACTTTTATCATGGAAGAAAGGAAGAGCATACCAGGACTTTAAAGAGGCAGTGTCAGTAAAGCTTCTTGCCTAACCCCCCCCCCCCCCCAAAAAAAAAAAAAAATAGGTAAAAGAATGGCCCAATACCCATAAAAGGCAATTATTCTACATACTGTTCGGGTCCAGGTACTCAAACCCCTATACTGGGCTTGACTAGCGGTCCTCGGGTTCCTTGCAGCATAAATCACAGTCGAAACCTGCGACCTGAACCGACCCCAAACCAGAAACATTCAAACCCTGAAGCCGGTGAGCCTATGATGCCAAAACGTCCGATTAGCTTTATGTCTTACGGCAAAAGCCCGAAATCAAAATCCTTGAAATGCTCATGAACCCTATTCCCTAAACCCTCCACCCTACTCCCGACTCATCCCCGTTCTCGCCTGTAGGTGGTAGCGCGTCCAATCAAGATCCTCCTTCAAGGAAGCCCACCTTGCTTCATGAGGACCGCACAGGGGAGGGCTAGGGGGGGATAGGGGGCCTGATTTCCTATAATAAGGACTGGGTTTAGGGGTTTAGGGCTTAGGGTTTAGGGAATATGTCAACTAATGTCAGGGGTCTTAACAATTAGAATAGGGTTCTGGGGTGTAAATTACACGATAATCATAAGAAGGAGCCCCCAACCTGGTATGGGTAATTATTCAGTGTCAAGACCGGAAAGCCACAAGGAAAAGCCCCTTAGAACACGCTCCGTCGCCTTGAAAGTTGCTCTTATAGTAATCAATCCTTTTCTGACCCTTTTCAACACCCTAAGATCACCTGCATAGAAACCGTCAATTCATCCATCAAGCACAAGACGCCTCTGCTGGCACCTCGCTTCCAGGAGCTGTTGCGGCGTCTCCGGCAGCTGCTTCTCTGGCAGGGATAGGCCGACCTGCTTAAGTTTACGGGTTTAGGGTTGAGGCGGGAGTGTTTAAGGGCTTGGGGTCGAGGGGGAAGAGTTTAAGGGCTTGAAGGTTTAGGCTGCATCAAGACACTCGATCTCTATCCACAAAGCTCAAACGTTAACATCCTGTTGCAGCTTCGGAACAGTCTCCAGCCCGCGCAAGGCCAGAAGTGCCATCACAAACAGCCCGATCGCAGCGGCTGTCTTCTTCCGCCGTGAGGATCCGCACTTCATTGGAGGCTCGTGTCCCCTTGTTCGAGATTCCGGATGCTAGTATTGAGTGCCGCAACTTTGGACCCGGAGTCCGACCATACACATTGCCCAACTTGAAAACATCAAACCCCTCAACACGTAATCCTCCCTGAACCTCCACAAACCGAGCGCCTTGTTGCAACTTTATGAAAGGGTGCAGCGACTGGCCACGTCACCCCAACCCTGCAGACTAAGTCCTAGTACCCCGAACCCTCCTAACCCTGAACCCGACTTCCTCACCTCAGAACCGAAAACGGGCTATACCGCCTCGCAAGGGCAAGTCACGAGTCATCATGCTCTCTTGAGCCAGCTCAATACAACGGGTTAGGATTCGTGTTTGAAAATTGAATGGGATCGCGATTTAAGGGTTTGTGTGTTAAGGGGGTTAGGGTTAAAGCTGTCGTGCGTAGGGGCTAGTTAGGGTTAACGGGATAGCATGTTCATCGGGGTGCGGTATTTTAATCGATTAGAATTGACGTTCAATAATTAATAGGTTTCAGAAACGGCAAATTTCGATCCTATCTGAGCGGATATAATTTTTACTTTCTATACCGGTAGAAACTGTAGTGTCGCACTTAGCGCTCAAAGTGTAAGGCTGCGAGCTTGGGCTGCGCCGGACAGGGCCCTAAACCCTAAACAGAGGTCGGGTTTTGGTCAGATTAGGGTTTAGGGTTTAGGGTGTAGGGTCAGATCTATGAATATGAGAATTTATGGGCATATGATGTCATACTATACAAGGATGCAGACAAGCACCACAAGGGAACCCAAAGCTGCTAACTACACCGAAGCCCCACAGTCCGAATTCTGCAAGCCATCGGCAACAGCACCCTAAACTGCCCTACCCCCACCCTGAATCATAGAAACTCTGCCTATACCCAGGGGCCCCAAAGTAGTCCCTTTTTAAAGATACCCTATAGGATTCTATATATGAACCCCCAAAACGGAACTACTTTGGGGGCCTTAGGGTAAGCTTCCAAAGACGAAGCCCTGAAGCTAGACCCTTCATCAAACAAAAAACCACCGAAGCCTTGCCTGAAGCAGGAAGCCCACAATGCGCCGCACCATGTGCTTCAGGAACCCACGGCTCTGAACCCGGAACCTGCGGCTATACATGCGCTTCAAGTCACACGGGCTTTTAAAGCTTCAAAATCATGATAAGATTGATAGCTTAGGGTTTAGGTCCAAATCATGATAAGATTGATAGCTTAGGGTTTAGGGTTTAGGTCCAAATCATGATAAGATTAGTAGCTACTGGTTCGGGCCTGTCGGGTCTTAGGCTTTAGGTGCCCTTTTGAGAGTTCCAAGCTTGAAAGGCCCCAAAGACATTTGGATCAGAGCTTTACGATTCAAGTTGCCGTTCCAAATCAGGTTGGGATGTCCTACCCAAAGGCTCCATAGTAGGTCCTTTTGGGGATTACCTCATACGATCCTAAATCTCAACCACACAAAGGAGCTACAATGGAGCCTATGGGTACACCCTAAACCCTAAACCCCTAAACCCTAAACACCTAAAGCCCGAAACCTTACACCCGAAACCCCTAAACACAAAATGCAGTAAAACAAGGTTCTTAGCAATTGCCGCACCTCGTCAGGAGCAGGCCCTGCGTCCGAGCATCCTCGAACTCCGCCGTCGAACTGCAGCTTTGGCAGTCCTGGTCGAACAAAGGGATATTTAGGGTTTAGAGTTTAGGGTTGAGATAATAGAGGGATATAGGGGCCTTTATAATGAGAGTAGGGTTTCGGGGCCCATTGTACTATAGTTACAACAAGGAGTCCTGGTCAAACAGACGGGAGGGCTATGAGGATTATCATGGTCATAAGGGTTATGAGGGTTATAGGATCAGAAAGGTCATAAGGGCGAAAGAACAGAGGATCCCTGTATATCTACACTGTGTCTGCACTTTTACATGCCACGAAACACTATTCCAACTACCACCAGGTAAAGGCCCCCACTAAATCCCTCAAACCCAGAAAACTTAAACGAACCCGCCGGCCGGTATAGACCTGTGGGGATGACGCTTTGCAGTCTTTACCAGGACAACCCCCATGTCCTTCAGTAGAACTCTTTTGGTCAAATAGAATACCCAAACACCTTTGCGTCGAGCCCCTATGGTCCCCTAGAAGCGAAAAACGCAGACGCACTGCACCCTGAAGCTTGAACCCTGCACGTTGTGAAACCCTGAATAGCCGGACATCCTGCAGCCCTAAACCCTGAAAAAAAAACCTCTTGAAGCACCACAAAGGACCTACAATACCTAAACCCAGAACACTGGTCCCCAAACCCAAAGCCCTTCACCCGAAACCCCAAGAATATAGGGGATTCAATGGTTAGAATAGGGCTTCGGGGCCCAGTATACTATAAGTATCATAAGGAAGCACAAAAAGTTAGTACTGGTAACTGTTAAGGCCCCTATATTAGCCAAAAACTGATGCTAAACCCCGAAGATGGGCCTCGAGTAGCACCCGCCCGCTGTCGAAGGATGCCCCCAGCAGACCGAACCTGGGTCTGTCCATGGCATTTTGGGCCTTTACCTCCAGAGACAAAATGTATAAGTAAATGCTTCAACCACTATGTAAATAAACATATGTATAGTATACCTCCATAAACAAAATGGATAAGTAAATGCTTCAACCAACTACTAAGTCAAGAAACGTGTAACAAACATACATATGCAATTATGTCTGTTTGTAGGTAGGTAGGTAGGTAGGTAGGTACGTAGGAAGGTGGGAAGGTATGTAGGCAGGTATGTATATACAGGGTTTGGGGTTTAGGGTCCAGGATCTATTCCCCTTTAACAACCTGAAGGCCTTAGTGTGTATGGCTTCAAATCACCGTGTCGAAGACGAAGCCGCCCAGTAGCTCTGCCCGCTCAAGGAGCTCAATCTCCAAAGCAATCAGCTGCCGAGTGGTGGAGCCCTGGCGGCAATGGGCTCCGGGTGTCGCACTTTTAGGTTCTGCAAAGGTTGAAGGGTGCAGGGTCTATGGTAGCTGATAGCATTTAGGTGTGGATGCATTTTTGGGGCTCCTTGAAACGTTCATGGGTTTAGGTTCCACGGGATTCCGATCGACTAGGTTATCAGTCATCTGTCGTGTATGGCCAAGTGGGGGCATAGTTCACGGCTTAGAGCAAATTCGTTCGGTTCGGGTGGTTTAGCTATAGGTCTAAAGCAAATGCATCCAGCTCCAGCGAGACAGGTCCTAGACCCCTCGACCCGAAAGTCTTGAAGCCCTAACGGCCTCCTGTTTCGCATTGGTACACAAAGACTATAAAAAGGATTCTACAACGAAGCATTCAGTTACCAGGAGCATCGGTTTAACGCCTTTTGCCCCAGGGTTAATGAAGTAACGTATTCGATTGGCTCTTGAAATCTATAAGCGTAAGGAATGGATATTGGGGCTCTCATCGATTGGCTTAGGAATCTTAGCGAGGCCGGCTCCGGCTGATTTTTGTGCAGCGCTGCACAACCTCCGCATCCGAATGGCATTTACCATTCGTTTGAAAGAGACTTTCTGTGCCATCGAGCACCGACATAAGCAGCATAACGATATAGCACCTGCAAGCCAAGACCTTGGGGGTGACATAAGGCTGCACTCATCTTGATTCTGCCGACCTTGGATGCGATAACAAACAGATATGCGGTCATATATCGAATCAATCGACCGACAATGCTGAAAAGTGGCCATGTCCTCATCACCATATGTAGATGTACGGAGTGGACATGTGACAGCTGTCTGATCGTAAACCAAGTGTTCGAGCCTCAGGAGCTTAAGGCGAAGCTTAGACGAGATATTCAGATTGTTCCATATCACGGGATTGCCCATGGATGAGCTGGATGGTCGACGGAATGATGTCGAGCCGTCGAGCTTTGGCTGAACATGGAATTTAGCCAAGTAGCCTGTGTATTTTCGGACGAAGCTTGAACAACATCTTGGAGCGGCCGCATGCATCGTATGCGCAATCTTGGTTGAGCGAAAGGTTTTCAAAGGTATCGGAGGTTTATGGGTTCAGCCGAAGTCTGACGGATATGCGACCAAAGCACAGTTGTAGCTCGCACGAAACAGATAGTAATGGGTCTCTATCTTTCGAATCACTTCAGCCGGGAGGGCGCAATCGTAACCCGACATCTCCTCTCTCATCCCTGCCAAATTAACGAAGATCGCCGCCAGGTTCCTAGGTCAAACGAAAGCACCCCACAGCTCAATTTCAAATCCATGGGAAAGTTCTATGCAGCGAATCGTCAGCCAATAGCGATCAGGATTGGCTCGCGAGAACAACACCGTGACGGAGCGAAGCCACTTGACCATCACTACAGACTCCTTGGTTGAGTTATTCTGGCTAGGATCAAATAACAACAACCACTATCGACCACTAAGCAGCAGTCCGCACCACTGAGATGCTTCTGGGATAATGTAGCAAACACACCCGGCGTCGTTGATTTCAGAGTTTTCAAAGAGAAAGGTGGTGCTCGGTTTCCTAAGTGGGTCACTGGATTGCACACTATAGGGTACACGTGGGATGCCTCATATTGCTATATCAAGTCGCGGACTTTCTCTCGTTTGCAAGCTTGTGCAAACTCCTGGTAAGCAAGCTCCAGTCGTAGCTCTTGGTTTCTGGCTGGCCAGGGGCTGTTGGCCGACTTCGTCAATTCTAGTAGTGCCTCGGGAACAACCGAATCGATCCGAATCCCACATTCGTCGGTACAATGAAAATCACAAGAAACGGAACTGAGCTCCCGTCCGATGCACAAGCATCAGGAGAAATAGCTAGATCAACAATGTGAAGCCAATCGTCCCATATTCGTTCTACAGCAAAGCCTGGAATGGCGAGCCATGGTGTGCTACCGCACTTGCGGATGAAGTCGGCTGTAGAGTATATCCTTAGAGTACGACAAAGATTGAACCGATAAATAGCCTAGAGTAGTCGTATAGCTGTAGCCGGGTTGCGTTGATCGATGTTGGGCTCCGAGTCCGAAGTGCACGTAGCCCATAGGAGAAGAGCCATTTTTCGAAGCCTGGGTAAATGTCGAACCAAATATTGTACAAACTCTACCTGGTATCCTGTGCGTACACCGCTACATGCAAATTAGCAGCTGCACATGAGCGACACATTTCTTCACTCGTCCAGTAATTCTCAAACTTGTAGCATGCATGAAGGTACTTTTGGTCCCCCTTGTGACCAGCAAACACGAACCGGAACGGTCCCGCGATCTGCTTCCCAGCTTTGGCGTACAGGTCAGGCATGTAGTCGGGACTGAAAGGCCGACCGTACCAATCATGATCAAGGTATACCCCAGCCGCAGCACATACCAATCCCCAACAAATCCAACAATCTATTTCTGTGGCAGTAGATTCGCCTGCAGCGCTGTTGTCGAAGCAACTCAACAACAACTTGTGATCCCAAGTAGCTATACCTGGGCCCAGCAACGCCGAGGCAACTGTGCATATGGCAAACGACCGGCGCTTATGCATCTCGGCATCATCGCCATGACATTCGAGTGGTATGATGAAGTTCAGTTCGCTCCTCGACAGCTTCGAAAGGAGAGGGTGATCCTTGAACCATGTCGTCGTGCGGTTGACCTCCCAATACTCCGAAAGACGTTTGTCAGGGTCAGGGCCCAGCAGGAGCGATTGGAATAGTTCGATGTCAAAGGAATATAAAGTATTCAGCCTCGGCGACTATATGGGTCTGCACACAAACCTGTGAAGCCCTGAAAATAATATAGTCGAGTTGCCAATCCGGAATCAAGAAGATTGAGTGCAGGCCCAAAAAGTTCGGCTCGCTCAGCTTAGAATTTACCTTAACACCAGCATGCTAACCACGACTCTATACGTATCAAATATGAATTGCAGACCAGTGACTTGGTTGACCTGGATCCTCAGTTAGTCGAATTTGCACATGCAACCTACGGTCACCATCATCTGCCAGGATTCGTTGTTGGCGGAGGCAATGCTTTCATCCATTGTTGACGTCGTAGCCAGCTACGAAAATTGCGCTGCACGTTGTCATTACCAGCGGTGCATTCGGCCAAATCCACGAATTCTTTCCTTACGGGGTGTTTCTTTTTGGGCTGGCACCATAGATCAACAGCAACATATGTATTGCAACTGGGGTTCTCCAAGAAAATAGGTGGTATCCGCTTATGCACGGCTTGCACAAAACCTCGGATTGTTTGCACAGATACTCGCCTGGATAACTCGAGGAACTCCTCCATCATCCCGTAGACCTCGCCAGCCTGAGCTTCTGAGGTATGCTGCGGCGGTGGGCATTATGCACTATCTCGGGCCTTGCTGCATTTGGAAGGAAGGGCATTCTTCATGGCTATCGCACACAGGGCACGACATGAGCCGACTAGAAGTTTGAAGTTTCGTATACGGTGCATGGATCAGGGACTCAAGGAAGGCCTGGAGCCTTGTGAATTTAGAGTCGTCGGGACTGGGGTGACATCAGATATGGTTGAAGCCAGAAAGTTGGAACATTAATATCCTCAATTAAAATTTTTAGATATCCTAGCACTTATCCTCCTAAACCCGTGTTCCAACTTTCTCGCTTCTACTGTAGTGGGTTTATTAGGGCTGAATGATATTTCGGAAGGTCGGGCTCAGTCTTATGATTAGTCGTGGTAGCATGGGTTGACGGTGTTTCGCCTGTACACAATTCCGTAGGCTAGCAAGCGTTTAAAGGTGTCTTAGTCGGGGACTATAGGCATTGATCCTACCTAATCTGGGCCGCATCTTGCAAGTCGCACAAAGTCGGTCGATTGCTTGAATCAAGACTTTCATGCTTCGCATCAGCAGCCATCGGCCGGATCATGAAAGATCGAACTATTTTGGAGGCTGCTCGCATCGATCGAGGTCCCGACGGGTCTAAGCTTTGACTTTGTCCCCAGCAAAGCAGCCGGTCTGACCACCAATTAAAGCAACTGGATGCGTGCGCATAATCGCACACCAGGGCCCGGAATTGCAGCGAGTGACAACCCCAACCTTAAGGTTAAATTAAGATTTAACTAAGCCGCTGGCCTGATCATCATATAGCCCACATAAACCAGGAGAGACCAACCACTTAAGATCGTTAGGTTTTCCACTAACAGCCAACCTAAGCCCATAAAAATCCGGAGGATTGATCTTCATATGATGCATGACCCCAAAAAATTACCCTAATAACCCTCCACCCCCATCCGAAATTTTTCAGAGGTAAGGACCGGTAGTTTTAGGGTTTAGGGGTTTAAGTTTAGGGATTTCGAAGTTTAGGAATTTCGGGGCTTAGGGATTTGGGGTTGGGGTGTGGGCTCCGACTAACAGCCACTCGCCAATCCCAGGTTACAGCATCTATCTCCAGTCGACGACCTAGGACGGGGCCGCTTTGCCCTTTGCTGCTTTTTTAGCAGAAGCATTAGCATCGGTTTTGGCCTTCTTCGGCTTTCGTCGAAGGGCCTCCTTAAGATCATCTTCGATTAAGGTAGCCTTTGAGCAAAACTCATCGTAGGGAACCTGCAGGTTTGAAGCGCTGCTCTTCTCAAAGACTTTCTCCATCTTTTTGATATCAGAAGGCAGCTGGTCCCGGAAGTGCTTCAAGCTCTCCACCTTAGGTAGAGGCGACGACAGCATTTCACTTCGGGGCTTGGGGGTTTCGCTAAAATCGGGTCTACGTTCTACCGAGATACAAGCTCATTGCAGTGCTTGCTCCCACCAATATCGCGCAGTCGTTCTGTGATCTTCGCTGGGAAGCCTCGAAACCTTAATAGTTGAAGAAGTGGGGATTGACACGGCTAGGGGGCTGCAAAGGTTCAGCTAGGGCACTTCTTGACCAGCTTGCTAAAGTCGTCAACGAGCTTCTCTTCGGCGGTTAGGACTTTGGCGGTTGGGATCTTGCTGTTCTTCTTATTCAGTACAATCTTGCCTGAGTCCCTATCCAGGAATTGGGTGTTGTCCAGGGCCTTCAAACCACTTTGCATCTTCTCGCTGATCGATTTCTTAGCGGCTGGATCCGAAACTTCTCCCGACACACTCACAGAAGTCTCACCCTTGTGACCTTTGCGATGTTCCTCCAGGATGCACTTAAGCACACGGTACATGCGTGCTTTGGCAATCGTTGGCGCTTGGGGGTGTGCTGTCCCCTTCTGTCCTTAGCTGAAATGCGTATGCTTCCGGCAGGACCTCATCGACTTCGACGAGATCGTCGCTGCAGGCAAATTCCGAACCTTAATATTGCCACGTCGCCTTTTATCAACTCGCCAATAAATTCCAATGCCTCCGGAGAATCCCCGAACATTTTCTCCAATTGGAACACCGTGACGGTGGCGTATTGATCCGTATTCATGTTTTCCACCACCTTGGTGAACCTTATGGCGGTCGGTCTATGTTTGAGGGCTTGAGGATCTTATGCAGACTAGCAGCTTCTCTTCCACATAGATAGCACCAAGGTCTCCATCATTCGTCATCCACTCACGGAGCATGTCAAACCTTAGCTATACGAACCCCGTCGAAAAGACCCGATAATTAGCATAATTGGACCGTTCGTGTTCCTAAGCTGTAGAGTCAAGCCGTGGAGCTTCGTCGTATCATCAGCCGCACTGTACTTAGCCACGAGTGCTGGGTGCAACTCTGCCTGGCTTTTGAGCTGACGACCCAAAGCAGCGAACTGCCGCTTGCGTTCAGCTCGAGGCATATCCTCATTGGGAAGATCAGGCCCCCTCCCTATGAACCCAACAAAGACCCTAAGCATACCCTAAGCGCTAAGCCTCACACTCTCAACCAAGCTATTAAGTATTTTGAACTGCATGCAGGGCACAGTAGGTGAGGCCATGTTTTTCAATGCGTCTAGCTGAGCAGGAGAAAGCTTGATGGCCCGTGCCTGCACAGAAGAATGTGTTAAGTACACCCTGTACCCGATATGTACACGACACGAAAGATCGATCGATGTTAATTCCGAAAACCGGCCTGGGGAGTCTTGCTGCGGGCAGGCTTTTCAGTTTGTTCTGCGGGTGACGGCGTGGTGGTCACTTCGGTAGGGGTTGGCACGGCGGTCGGACTTGCCTTGTTTGTGCTTGGGGGCGGAGTGGCAGTGGCAGCTTCCGTGGCTGTAGGTGAGGCCGCCACAGTCTCGGTGTTGCGCTCTGGGCTTTCGACCAGGGCACCCTCCACCTCGATGCTTGCGACCGTTGCTTGGCGTTCCATGACCTTGCGAGCTTTGCACGGGGCCGGAGCATCACCAGCCTTGTATGTGTCAGGGTTGAAAAACTTGGCCATCGACTTCGGGTTGAGGTTGCGAAGATCAGCTTTCTCAACCTTCTCTGCGCTCGCAGGGGGCTCTCGCAAACGTGGGGGAGGGGTCTCCAAAGGGGATGCATCATTGCTTGCTGTGCTCGTCGTCTCTTTGGTTTCCGTTTTCTCCTTCTTCTCCTTGCTTGCAGCTTTCTCCTTCTTCTCCTTTGTTTCCTTTTGCTCCTTCTTCCCAGTGGTTTCCTGTTTCGAGTGGTCCTCCTTCTTCTGCTTGGTTTCCTTTTTCTCCTTCTTCTCCTTGGCTTCCTTTTTATCCTTCTTCTCCTTGGTTTCCTCTTTCTCCTTCTTAGCTTTTTTATCCTTGTTTCCCTTAACTTCATCCAGCATCTTGGATAGCTCCTCAACCATGTCTAGAGCCTCCTCATCATCTTCTTCTGGGGTTTTCTTGGATCGCTTGGATGGTGGCTCCTCGGGTGCCTCGCTGCTTGGGGGCTTCTCGGCTTTGCTCTTCTTGGCTTTGGGCTTCTCGCTGCTTGCGGGCTTCACGGCTGAGGAAGTCACGACTTTTGGCTCGTCGACCTCCATGGGTTCCGGCTTTTCATTGCTTGTGGCATTCGTTGCATGGGCCTTGTCGGGTGTCTCGCTGCTGGCGGGCTTCACGGCTTTGGGCTTCTTGGCTTTGCTCTTCTCAGTTGCTTCGGGCTTCTCACTGCTTTTCTCAGCAGGCTTCTTCAAGCCGGCTTTCTCTGCAGCCACAAGAGCTAGCACAGCTTTTGTGGCATCCCCTTGGTTGTTAGCTAAAGCAGCGCATGCAGCACCTCGATCGAATCCCATCTTCACTAGCTTATCCAAGCACTTGCTTTCATCCATCGTCTTTCCCTTCTTTCTACGTGGCAGATCCACACCAGAACTGCCAGACGCTGGCAGGCCCAAGCAACCACTCTTCCTTAGTGCTACCATCTATAGATGCCACACATGATGATCATCCAAATGGTGCCATGGTACGAAGCAGCAGGGGCCATGCTGATGCCTTTAAAGGCGACCTCGTGTTAGACACGCGAGGATTGTTACATTTGCACAGCACAGGAACGATCTCAGAAGATGAGGGGCAGACTTCAAACGGTTCCCTACGATGAAAAAGCACACTCGCTAGCAAAATGCCGCGCTGATGGGCCCAAGTAACGCGACACGGGGTGACACGCGAAGTAACGGGTTCTTGTCATTTCCAAGCCGGGGGTGACACGGGGTGACACGGGGGTGACACGCAACCTGGTTTTCTCGATTCACAGCGCACTGCTCGGATTGTGCGTTGCAACTACGTGACACTGGTAATAGAGGACAGCTTCCATCCAGCTCGACCCTTCAAGAAGTCATCTATGCAATCATCATCACTACCTCCGTCACTTAGATCATCCAAGATTGCATCGAAGTCCACCGAGGCCATATCGGTAGAGTTTTCGCGGGCGGCTGCGAACCTTATATCGGGTTGTGCTTAGATGGGTCGGCAGGTTAGCGTGATATATTATCATATGAACCCTCGAACCGTTAGTCTCGGACGAGGCACAGTGATGCAATGGCCATGCCGAAGGACGCTGTATAAGCTTGTGTGTTCACCAGATCTCGTCCTCCCACCTGGGATCGACCGGACTCCAGCGGGGGTATGGCTACAAAGTTGCGATTGATCGGTATCCGTACCAGCTATAGCTATACCCACCACCACATACAATCGGCTCATCGGGAAGCCGAGATTTAAACCGTCTTTAAAACCCACACGCATGCAAGAACACCGCAACTTACTACCCTAAACCCCGATCGCTTAAACTAGCTAACATTATCATTAGCTAAGGAGGGTTTTTACACTTCTCCTGTCACAGGCGCCAGCTCGGATCATACTCGGACATGCACCGACTCAAGGCGTGGGATTGTTTCGCGCGTCCATAGTTTATTTTGGAATTGGGGGAGATCGTCCATGTTTGCAACACACGCAGCTCGACAATGCGGGCTTATGGTCTACTATATGACTTTTGTGTATAGTCGGAGGTTTGGGTATATGGGCTTTCTTGAAGGTAAGGATTAGTCTTTCTGGGTCTTTGGAGTTTGTTGGTTTCAGCACAGGCCGGGGAGATTACCAATACAGATGATGGTCGAATTATAGTGACTTTTGCAGGTATCCTAATTATTAGGGATTAGATGGTTTCGGCCGAAAAAGAGATAGTTATTCGGGTCATCCTCCATTGAATTCTGCAGATCGTGGCTCGACGCGATATATCAATCGGCACCGGCGGCACTTGTGTTGCTCACAGCCAGCATGCTCGTTTTGGATGCCAGGTGTAAGTCGCTTTAACTTCCTTCTTAGTTCAGATTGCAACTGCCCTGCCGCGTGCCCGGCAGCGGCCTCCGTCAGGGAGCTATTATTATTAATAGCATGTACGCCTGCCAGTTTTAGGAGCACAGTCCTTGGAATCATTATTAGCATGTACGTCTGCTCAGCTTGGAGTCATGCTGCTGAGAACCCCAATATCATAGATGCAACTACATCTACTCCGACAGGGCTCAGCTAACAACCGATCAAATATGATGCGAGCTTGACCATTATGATCCCCGAAGATGGCAGAAAGCTGCGACCTAGATTAGAATCAAATCGCCCATCATGCACAGGTCGCGGATGCTGCGCCACAACTGAGAGCTGCCTATCCGAAGACGTGCAGAACATACCGGGGCCCTAAGCAAGATCCACAAGATGTCGCAGGATTGGTATCGGTTGGGTTTTGAATCTGAACCCAGGACAGCGTCGTCGTCGTCGTCGAAATCGTAGTAGTAGTAGTAGTAGTAGTAGTAGTAGTAGTAGTAGTAGTAGTAGTAGTAGTAGTAGTAGTAGTAGTAGTAGTACACTCCTGCAACTCTGCAACTTAAGGTGTCCGAGGGCGGACACCTTAAGTTGGTAAGGAGCCTGGTGTCCTGGGGGGGGTGGTGCCCCCAACCCACCCCAGCATCATGAGCATCAGCCGGGAGTCGTGTGGGTCTAGGGGGGCTTATGGGGGGTTTGTGGGGGCCCTCAACTTTGCAACTTAAGGTGTCCGAGGGCGGACACCTTAAGTTGGTAAGGAGCCTGGTATCCTGGGGGGGTGGTGCCCCCAACCCACCCCAGCATCATGAGCATCAGCCGCGGATCAGACATTTTCTCTATACTGTTCAGAATACTTCTCAGGGCTTATATAGGGACCCAGAAAAGGACCTAAACAAAAACCAGAAGTTGGGATATACCAGAATCCCATCTTTTATTAAGCTATAGGGACATCCCACCCGAAAGTGTATGTTTGGGTGCTTCTTTGTCTCGTGACTATAGGTTCGAAGTACTCCGGGAAAGCTACGGAGAGATGCTTCCCATAGATGTTGAGTTGATGCATTACAATTGAGAGTCGGGTTAGATTTTTCCGGATCCCAAACCTTGTATACCGAACAGGTGCCCTGTTGTATTTAAGGCCTCAAGTTGAACTTGTACTTTCGGATCGAGCCCAGACCCTAACCTCAGCACCCTGTAGATTTATTGTGGTAATCGCTACCACACTGAGTTTACCCGAAGCGCCAACCCCAAAGACTGCAATTGTAGTCAAGACCGGATCCAGCGACAATACAAAATCCTTGAATTCCAAAGGACCTTCACGGTAAGATACGGTAAGCAGCCCTGCGATCAGAACCCAACCCCAAGATACAAGTACATCAACCCGATCCTTGGTTGTTGTGTTTTTACCTTGCTAGGTAGGAGGGAAAAACACAACAACCAAGGATCGGGTTGATGTACTGTACACAGCACAAACATCGATCCAATTAGAAGACTAGGAGCAACCTTCTCTTGGCCATCATCATCCACGTATCGTCTTGTAATTTGCAGCAAACCACTTGCCTTTACGTAGCGTAAGTGCTGCTGGGTCAGCTTCGAGATGTGGTTCTGGAGAGAGCTCATGCCGGGCAGAGTGCCCCAAAGCCTGGGATAGTCTAGGAGCTTCGGGTTGATTGTAATTAGCAAAAGCACTAGGGCTTGGGCTTGCGAGCAGATACAGGCTTTGGACTGCTGAATCGATCCAAAGTCTGCGCGACACGTAAATTATTTATCATCGGCTTGATTAAGGTATCAATGACGTCAAGGAACATAGTCGGCTTGCGGCTGGGTGAACAATACGTACCCATTGAGAAGGATACTAAGGTTGCCTTGATCCGGAACATGAACCGTCGCATTGGCTTGTAATCGAAGAGAAGGCTGCTCCCTGGCTGCTCGACCACGATATAGTGACCCATCATCCATGCCACATATAACCTCAGACAGATTGACGATCCTATGCCCCATCTAAATACCCGTATGCTAGCCATGTGTGTTGCATGGGTTGAAGGCAAGTAGCACATATATCATTCGTCTAACGAAGACATTCGCACGCCGAACCTTCATTAGCCGACTGGCAAAGCCAGCAGGTCGCGCAAGTCTCCTGCCCGTAGTCCCACGAGACCTTAGGAATAGCAAGATAGGTTTAATTCATATATGGTAGATACATGCACGTGCATGCTGTACATAATCAGCTCAAGGCATCCAAACCCAAGAGGAGCAAGGCGGAGCGAACCAGACTAGAGCCGGCCGGCGAAGATTTCGAACCTCAGATCATTGTAGGCTTTATATTGTAGGTACCGACAAAACTGCAGGCCCCAAGTTGCATCTCGGAAGCTGCCGTCAGAACGGCCATGAAGCCAATGGTTCGCATAAAATCATGATTTCTGGAATACCTTGCCTTAGCGTGAAAACGCACTATGGACAATGAAATGTTCCCACGATATTAGGCGCAGCTTCGGGGCATCGATCGCCTTGCCGGCGTAGCTGAAAGCTTGTAGACTATCAGTCAATGCCTTGGTTGTTTCCCGCGACATCAATCAATGTCCGTGTGACAAGCTGGTTATGATGAAGCCTGGAGGCATGATCCCCGGCACATATCTCGATCTTAGTTCGAGCGATTGAAGCTGCAATCCAAGAAAAATCAATTGTAGCATGATCAACCTTATATGCAATATGTAGAATATGCAGCCTAGAATCGAAATCCAATCGATCTTCAGGGAGCGGCACTTGGAGTGCTGCTTCGAGCACAGGACGTAAACTGGACAGCCGCACACATTGCACGCGACCCGTAACAAGGATCCCCCAAAGTAGTGCCAACTGCAACATGTTGGCATGCCAGCTTGATCCATTTTATTTCACAGGGTTGGGTCTATAGCTCAACAGGCAGTGCACATCCCTCACACAACGATAGCTTGATGCGACACCAGGAGGCTGGATTTTTCAACTAGCGAGCCATCGTAGCACCAAAATTTGGATCTCAGATCTCCCCGAAAGCTTTTGCCAGAATCGCTAGAATCTTTTCCAAAAGTAGGTGTCATACACCCCGACAGGTCGGCCGGCACGGCACACCAAACCTTTAGCTAGCACCATCACTATCAGAGTCACTCTCCTTGGAACCCTCTGACTCCTCAGCGACCGGAGGTGGCGGCGTGGCCTGAAAAAGCCGGAAGACCAAAGTTCCCGGGGCTACTTCGGATAGGTTTAAGACTCAACTACGAATTTATTTAGTCTTGCGACTACCATGGCATCATATAGATCTATCTATTCGAGTATAGGACAGCCACAAACGAACTCACGTAGCCGGTCGAGCATTCGTACTACTATTTCTACGGGTCGAAGTTTCTATAGTGGTATGCATGCACGGAGTGAGCGTGCCTTTTTGCTCTTTCTGGCCAGCCTGCTCTGCTGGATTTTGGCCTGAATCATTGCATATGATCATTGCTCAACCACTATTCGCATTACGAGTTCATGCGACAAGCTATGCAGCCTAGGAGCGGATCTAGCTTTGTACATCAAAGCCTTCCTCTCTTTTTTCAAATTCTCAGCCTCCTCTCCATCCACCACACGAGTGATCGCATCGTCATCATCCTGAAACCCATCCTTTTCTGCCTTCGTACGAATTGTATACAGAGTTCCAGACGGGGCCCAGTAGACGAAGTACCCATTCCCAGCACATTTGCCTGCAGGCGCACAACTTACATATACCCAAACACATATACCACAATCACACCATTCTACCCATGCAAACACAGACACACAAACCCACCCCAACCCACACACACACATGTGCGAACACACCATATCGATGGAGTCTGTTGAGAGGTGCATCCAAGCGCCTGTAGGCCGAATCTTGGCCTCTTTCATCCAGCCAGACGAATACACAGAAATGCATTCCTTCGTAATCTTCTTCCTTAGTTCGAGCCAATTTTCGAATGAACCTTTTAGTCCCTCTACATATAGCACTCCGGTTCCGTCCCAGCATCGCAGGGCCTTTCTTGGGCGCGGTTGCAGCTTTCTTGGCCCGCTCGTTCTTAATGAGGTCGAGCTGTTCTTGAGGGGTCAAGATGGGATGGTTCACACTCTCCAAAGCCGCCTTCTGAACTTTGTTAATATCTGCAGCAGGCAGGCCCGATACTTTGAAGGAGGATGGGACAAACTCTGGTCCGCCCTCCGGTCCCTCCTGCAAGCTACCGATACCGATCAAAGAAATCATATATCGTAACACATGCATGCACACACACGAACTGTCCTTCTTGACGTCACGGCCATCATCATCATCATCATCTGTAAAGTCCAACCGTCGCTTCGAGGAGCCAGGAGCACGGCTATCATCATCCACATTGAGAGATCTAGCATGAGCCACCAAATCTTCCAAGAACGCAAACTGGTCTTCGCTTTCCCCAGACCCCTCGGACCCATCATGATCCCCAGCGGGAGCATCGGAACCATCAGATCCGTCAACACCTTGTTCATCATCATCCTTAGCAGGACTTGCACCCTCAGGTGCCCCAGCTGCTTCGTCAGCAGCTTTCACCTCGGCAGGCCCAGATAAGACCGACAGCTTCGCCTTGGCAGCTGCCTTATGTCAGGCACAGAAGGGCACTCGAATCACAACATATGCGTGCACACATATGCACATACACATAGCATAGGCGTCATGATGTTGCGACAAAGCTTCACCATGCTCCTCCAACCAAGCATTCCATGCCAGAACATCTTCGACCGGCAGGGTTCCGAACAGGCTCGCATCCGAATGACATTCGGCACTGCCGGATTGAAAAGCTTCGAAGAATGGAAACAACTCATGAGATTTGATGCTTTGCAAGATGCACTCAACTTGCTCCGAATCGAAAGCCTCGAATCTCTTCCGGAAAGTAGCCTCATCATCCTCATCTGCGGAACCAAGATCCTCGCTTGGCTCGTGTGCATCAGAAGCAATATCATCAGGGCCGGATGCCCCATCGTGTTCAGATAAGTGATCTGAACCATCATCATGCTCCTGATCGGGGTATTACGAATCTATATGGAGCGAATGTACAGATTATTGCAACTTCAAACTTTGCGATCCTCGGGGGGATCCTCCATGACCAAAGTTTCCTGATTATCCATCGTAGGCTCGGCGGCCTGAGCAAGCAGTGGATGCGACTGGCTTCTCTGAGGGATCCCCACCTTGCGCTTGTTGGCCTTGCAACGAGAAACCCGGGCGGTGGCTCCAACCCTCTTGAACACGTCGCAGAGCTTGCTCGCCTGCATACAGTTGTATGGCCATGTTGATCTAAAGTACCGAGCTCAAACTCACTGGAAGCTAATGCCTCCTCCGAAGCCCAGCGACTGAGGTTCACCCTTTCATCACCTTGCCACATTAAACAACGAGGATCGACGATCAAGGCATACATTCACATCTCCACGCGAACGGTAGCTTCTCGCAGCCGAGTCGCACAAGTGGTACTGCTGCGCGAAAGTTCGCACAACTTCGGCCACATGTTTTTCGGAAGGAACCCGCGAAAACTCGCATGCTTCATAAGCATCCCTCACCCACTCGTTTCCTTTCCTAGTCAACCGCCCACCAGGGCAGATGGCACACTTCGATCGCACCTCTTGCCTCAGCTACTACATAATCACGGATCGATGAGATGTCTAGCGCAGCCCACTATGATGATCAAGCTGGATCAGTCAGCCCATGCAGCAAAGTGTCACATTCATCCGCGTCCACATCTCCACATAAAGTTGCTGCAGGCTTTTGCTGAGGTGCTTCAAGCAGCTTGGTGCATCCCCGTTGTTCGAGGGAAGCGAAGCCGTCGAGGGCAAAGACTCTAGAGAGTTCGTGGCCATGGTGCGACAGCACTGTCGTTGAAGCATCAAGTTTATGCTCTGATCCGAATGCAAAATTGAAACCACTAAGCTCAGCTGCTATAAAACGTCCGAAATACAGAACTTCTCTGAATGACTCAGCTGCTTCCGTCCGAATCGCTGAACTTCTTCTCCGAAACCCGTTTCATGTCCCGCAATGTATGATACTGAATGGCAGCAAGTGCTCAGACGTTCAACAATGCACAACATCGGAAAGCCTGCATGTTTTGTGTCACATACCATCATATGAAAGCATTACTTCTAAAGTTACGCTTTTGAATACATTACTTTTCTTTGCCCGCTAGAGAATGCATTAATTGGAGGGTCCTGGTACTCAGACCTCTACACCATTGCATCAAACCTGCATTCAAAACTCTTACAAGACCAAACTTTCCAGAATCTGCGGCCTCCCCACCGGACGCCGAGGACAACGCAGAGAAGTCATGTCGTCCCACGAGCTGCGAGGCCGCAGCTTTCATGCGCGCCTGCCAGGGCGTAGGGGTCCCTGGATGTCCGGGGGTTTAGGGTTTAGGGTTTAGGGTTTAGAGGGTTTAGGGTTTAGGGTTTAGGGTTTAGGGTTTCGAGGGTTTAGGGTTTAGGGTTTAGGGTTTAGGGTTTCTTCGTGGTTTCCCGACTCCAGTGTTCGGGTTAAACTCGAGTTTATGGATTTGGGGGCTTGGGTCGCTTGGGGCTGGGGGACCCTGAGAGAGGTAGATGATTCTAGCTGCTTTCGGCAGAATGCGTCCAGGCATGTCCTAGGCTTCTCGAGAGTTGGTTGGCCCATCTGCTGAGTTCCTTGACCCAGGGTTGCAGAAGCCCCAAACCAAGCGAAAGATAAATATGACCCCAACCCCATCTATATCCCTTAAACAACCGTAAACCCAACGAGAAATCCCTAAACCCCCGAGCCTTAAACCAGGTTCCAACCAGAACCTTGCAAAAAAGACTTCTAAGCCGCAGATCTCGTTGGTCCAAGTAATGTACAGGCCTTAACCACTAAACTAGGGTTTTTAGGGCCCATGATACAAAACATATAACAAGGAACCCCAAAAATAGTATTGAGAATTACTTAAGCCCCTATATGGTAACTAATTACTACAAATCATGTATCCCCCTCCTTTGGGGTTTAGGGTGGCTGCAGATCATAATATTCGAAAGCCATAAGAAGTCGAGCAGGGTTTTGGGGTAGATCATACGATGGGTGAACCCTAAGTGAAATCCCAGGTATAGGGCATTTTATTGTGGGGCCTTTGGCGCGTTGTCTGAGTTCCGAGTTTCGGGTTGCAGGGCTTAGGGATGTAGAGTGTCGAGGTATAGCCCTGAAATTGAGCCGAACGGCTAACTAAGCCTTAACCCAAAAGCCTCAAAAAGCCCTGAGCCCCTTGATGCCTGATCCTGACACCATGACCCTGAGCTCTCTTTCACCAAACCCCCTGAACCTCGATGCTACAGATCCTGGACTCTAAACCCTAAACCACTAAACCTTGGAGCACGAAGCCCTTAAGCCCTAAATCCCCGAAGCCCTAAGCCCGAAACCCCGATGTACTCTGTATATATATATATATAGATATAGATATGTATATACATACATATATATATATATACATACATATTCATATACACATAGAGCGGGCCTGGTCCAGGCACGACGTCTCGGGAGGGAGGAGCCAGGTGGCCTTGAGTTCGGGGGGCGAAATAAGAATTGAAGCTTGATGTATCACACCCCAGGTAGAATCTGAAAGCACAACCCCTCCCACACCCTGAGCCCCAACGATGAACCCTACACCCTGACCGCAAGGAACCCCTCACTCAAAGTCTCCTAAAAGGCCCCCGCCCCAATAATGTAGAGCTCCGAACAATCAGTAATCCACTTCCATGTCGGAGTTGGGTTCCAAAATCCACAACGGGGATACTTTTCGGGGGGCTCAACTCCACTATGGCAGCTCGAGAGGACCGGCAGACGGGTTCCGTTGAAACCGAAACCTTATAATTACTAGGATGCCCAGTAACTATTAGGAATAAAAAGGGCTCCCTTCAAAGTATTGGGTAACTTTATAAGGAACCTAGGACTACGAAAAGGAAATAAGGGTACTACTGGGCATCCTAATTATACAACCGTAAACCCTCAACTCAGGCGGCTAAGGTTTATGGTTTATAGGCATACCCCAGCTTCGCAAACCTCAAAACGGCATCCTAACGCTCAAGCCCTGAATCGACAACTCCAAAGTGACACGCCCAAGGCACTTGCTGCAGGACTGTCAACGCCCTGGGCGGAATCTCAGCTCCTCCGCGAGAGCTGCAATGAACGCAGGCAACGGTCTTGAGGGTAGGGTTTAGGGTTTAGGTGCCTTCAAGGATAGAGGGTTTAGGGTCTGTGGGTTCAGCAGGACCGAGATCCAAACCCAAGCCCATAAGACCATGAAGCCCTACATCCTGAAAAAGACCAAAACCCTAAAGTCCTCAAGCAACCTCAAAGACGCAGTTAACCCTGAGAAAACTCGGCCTTACCTCGTGCAAGTATCAACCCTAAGGCACATGGGCCATACCCGGGTCCTGTCCTGGGCTTTGCTGGGCCACGTAGTATGTGTAGGTCTTCACGGCCGTGCCACGGGTGCAGAAACCTTGAAAGCAACAGAAACATGACGGGCCAAGGTATCTTTCATAGCATGGCCGCCCAAAACCCTAAACTCTAAGCCGTCAAAGCCCTCCGACAGTTGGGGTTTGAAAGCAGGTAGTTGGGGGAGGGCAGCAGGTGAGGCATTTGTTCAGGGCTTTTGTGCATGAGGCTCTGGTGCTTCTGGCCTACGGCTTCAGTGCAGAAGGGAGCTGTGAAACTCAGCCTGGCCGAGAGGGTCGGTTCTACAGGCGTCAGTAAGGTTTGTTGGTAACAATAATTATAGGGTCTAGGATTTAGGCTTTCGCGCAGTTGCTTTGTCATAAACCTGGGCCCTTAACCCCTCAAGCTTGACCCACAAATCCCTCCAACATCATCCGTCAGCCGAGCAGCGCACACCACAACACACCACCCGCCGTCTAAACCCCAAAGTTCTCGAACCCCAGTGCATGGTTGAAGGAATCCGGAGGAGAACGATGGAATGCGCACGCCCAGGCTGCCCCAAACCCAAAGCCCTAAACCTTAATTCGAAGCCCTATTATAAGCTCCCGAGCCGAGCGTCTGAGATCTAATGTCCACCAAGCAGACCGACAGCGCACATCTGCCGGCAAGTTGGCCTCGGAAGGAGTTGTGTAGGGGTTTAGGGTTTAGGTATACTTTAAACCCCGAAATCTATCAACATTGGAACCGTTCTTTTGGATTTGATGGACCGCTGATGCTCTTGTTTTACATTTCAATAGGAAACGCTATAAGTGACTCACAGGGAAAGGAGTTCTGCACAGCAACTTGAGCAAACACATTGTTGGGATATAAGACATGCATGTTAACATATAGCAATGAACAATATATTCCGGATGTGTGGGTGTTCTTTGTGGCTTTCTCTCTGCCTGTCTCTATCTATGCGTGTATGTGTGCATGCATATATAACCATACAAGCATATGATATGTATACAAGCGTCACAGACACATACATACAGACAATCATACTTTCATAGCTGTGACATGTATACACACGTCACATAGCTGCATGTGTGCATATACACCCATATACATGCATATGTGTATGTATATATTTATATATATATATATATATATATATACACAAACAGAGAGACAGAGAAACGAGAGAGGTTTCTGGCTTCACGGTTTCGCAAAGTCCCCGATGAAAATTCCAACACGACAATTGGAGACATTGCTGAAAAGAAGCTGTGCATGGGCTAGGAAACGGGGCAGTCAAAGCAAGTACTACAGCTAACAGAACAGTTGATGGACGTGACCTCCAGCCCCAACCCCGTGAACACTCTAAAAACAATACCCGAACGGTCCAAGGACTCAAGTCTACCTTCACTGCACAGGTGTCAAAGAAGCAGTTCGACCCAGAGCATATGCTACTGAATGCATGGACCCTTTGGGGACAGATCACGGCGTTCGCAGTTGTGCTGCTCAGTTGCATTTAACACCGCTGGGAAGTTGCAAAGCATGGAATCGCTGGGACTTCCTCCCGTGTTGTAGTGCTTGCGGGTGTGAGGGCTCGGTTTCGAGAGCTTTAGTGGTAGGGTGTCATGATCTACAGGGCCTTAGAGGGATGCGCATGGTCTAACGTACTTCTTGGTGGCACGGAACATAAGCCTACCCCTGCAACTCTCGACTCGGGGGCTGAGAGAAACAGCCCTCAAGCGTTTCGGCTTAAGGGTCGTAGCATTCAGATCTATGAACACAGAGTCCTAAACCTTTAAACCCAAATTAGTCTTCCTGCTCTCACAACAAGTTGAGAAGAACATACCGGGCTCGATCATGCTATACATATCAGAGGGTAGTCGTCATCATCACCACCATCTTCCTTGAGCTAGCTGAGACCCTTCTGCATGGCCCGAACTCGAAACTGTCCTGACATGTGACAATTGCTGAAAGCGATCATCTGGTAGGCGTGGACGCCGCGATCTGTCCTGCCGGGGCGTGATGCCTTCTGGTTTCGAGGTAGGGCTGGCGGCGACATACTATCTGACGTCGACCACTTTTACTTTTACCACTACCAAACAAACTGCCACATCGACGGTGATCTCGTATTCCCCGATGACGGCTGTGAGCGGTACGATTCCCTGTTTGTTGTAGGTGAGAATGTCGGGAGCTTGCGATGGTTACGGACCCGAGCGCCGTCAACCTGTCCTCCAGCCAACGAGGCAATGAAGGTTAAACCTCCACAGAACATCCTCCCGCTTTGAACGCGGAGTCTATGTGGCCACAATTGAGGGAGTCGTGCTACTCAACTCGTCATACTACACGCCATTGTTCAAAGTGGATGGTGATAATGCGGAAAAGTCGAAGGACTAACCGACCACGCAAGAAGAAGCCCGAGCGCGAAATCCGAAATGCACACATCGAACGACCTCCTGACTCCTCACCGTCACTGTATACCGTAAGCCTAAACACGAACATCGACAGCAACAACGAAAAGGGAGCTAAACTGTTACACCCGGCTGTCAAGGAAACAATCCGTATAGCTTTCAAAAGCCCCGAAAGCTATTAACCTCCTGACTCTCGTAAAAAACCTTTTAACCTCCTGATATAGAACCCTTATAGACCTATACTTACCATTGGTTAGTAGGGAATGGAGGAAACGGGTACAGTTATAACTACTATTACTACCATTCTTCCAGCCTATATGGGTGGATGTCACAATTATGGTCCCTTTTTGGGTCCCAATTATAATACGGCACCTATTATTTAGGGTACGCAAAAAGCGAACCCTAATTTTGACAACCACCCATATAACTCAACCCTAAACTAAACCCTGAACCAACGAGCGAACCGGCCTGCCACTGGCCACCACCCCGCCAGGCGGCGACGTGAGCGGCCACTCTTCCAGCCTGGCAGCCTTTCGAAGCGCTGCGTCCACCACCTCCTGGCTGTGGGGCTCTTGTCCAAGTCACCAAAACAGGGGTCTATAGAAACCTATAGGGTTTCCGATTATTGCTATTCTTATGATGGTTCTTATTCATTATTGCACTGTAGTATGGTAGCTAACTTTAAATCACCACCTTCTGGCTTTGGGCTCTTGTTAGGGGAATGAATGTAAATCAGCGTAATAGGGATGTCTAGTAAACTATGGGCCTATAGGGTTTCCTATTCTTGCTATCCCTATTTTGGTTCTTACTCTTGATGTTGATTTTGATACCCCCCATTCCGCAACCCCATCCTCGAAGATACATGGGGTTCAAACTTAAGCCTTAACAAGGGCTACTTCTGGCGACATCGTCCAACGAAAACTACACTTAGTCAGGATTACTTTTGGTGCTTGGGTACCCAGGGGCCCCAAAGTAGTTCCTTTTTAAAGATACCCTATAGGATTCTATATATGAACCCCAAAAAAGAACTACTTTGGGGCCTTAGGGTCTTAGGGTAGAGCCTGACATGGATGAATCATGGCGTCCGTGTCACGGTGGCCGAATCCCTGTGCGTTTTTCCGCACACCGTGGACACCCCTAAACCGCAAACCCTACTTTTACTCAAACCCGAACTCCAACAATCAGTAATCGTCCGTCCCGTGAGCCCAGAAACCCTGAAGCCTAAGCTAAGCTTGAAAGCAAACCCATCGAAAGTCAAAAGTGGAACCGAGTTGTGCCGTGGGCTTGTCAGCGACTTTGGGTTTGGGGGTTGAAGGCAACTGTGCACATTATTCATTATTACTACTATTATTATCACTATTATTACTACTATGATTAGTACTATTATTACTACTATTATTATTACTAGTATTGCTACGATTATTCTTACTAGTATTACTACTATTATTATTTCTATTATTTACTGTTCGGTTGGCCATGGGCGCCACTTGTGCAGGCTAGCTGGAGTCTTTAACTCGGGTCAGTTTGGGGTCGGCCGGGTCCATGATGCGCACGTCCCGGAAACTACGGAGCGTTTTGACCCACGACTAGGGTTTAGGGTTTAGGGTTTAGGGTCACGATCGGCATGTACACAGCTTTCCATCTCCGTATCGAAAGTGCCGCGGGCCACTCGAGGAACCCAAGCTTGTGACTCCAACTGACCAGGGGAAAATGAGGGTACAAAAAGGGAAACATAAGGATAACATAAAGGGAACGTACGGGGCAAATAGAAACAAGAAAGAGTAACATAAAGAGAGCATAAGGGAAACATGATTGAAAGATGTGCGAACAATAAGGGTCAACTCAGGGAGAATAAACAGAACACCAGGGGAAAACAAGGAAACCATAAGGGTGAGATATACGGGAAACATAAGGGGAAAACAAGGGAACACACAAGGGACACTAAGGAGAAACAATGGGAAAGTAAGGGGAAATGAGGAGTTGCACAGAGTTGAAAATAAGGTGAGACTAAAGGAACATACAGTACCCTGAACCCTATAGATCACGGTCCTGCACCGAAACCTGCTCCGGCTCGGGGCAGCAGGCATCGGACAGTGCATGGGTTTCTCGAAGTCCCCTCCTGGCTGTTCGTGCTCTGCTAAGCTGTTTCTGTAGACTGTAGAGTTCTGTACGCCTTAAACGGGCTTCACAAGGTTCTGTAATGGGTCGAACGGTTGAGGTTTCAATACATAGTTGAAGGTTGTTGTGTTGAAGCAAAGGTGTCTGCAAGAGTGGTATGGAATATGGCCAGTTATTTGAGCTGCTGTTGTCAGCAATTCAGTGATTGACTTTCAATGTCATACTTTCTAACTCATAGCAACTGACATCCACTAAGCTACTGAAAGAAAGGCCAGTCAGTTTGGTAGAGTTTACCCCGATCCGCCTCCAGCATGCTGAGCAGATGTGTGCCTGGCGGACGCGAAGTCACCGACAAACTGGACTCAAACCGCTTCAACAAGAACAGTAATTTGCCAGGGAACGGCAAACCACACTTTGACTCGAAACTCAATAACCCTGGGAGAACCTTCCCTGCAGCCTTCAGTAAGGCCCTAACGGCGACACTCACGGAACGACTCACTACGATCCAAAGAGGGACCCTTGATAAGGACCCCTAGGTATATACCCTTAATACAGCCATAAAAACCCATGATATAGCCCAAGGTAGGGTAGAGGTCCACATTAAGGGTCCCTCCTTTTCCCCTTTGATACGAGAAGAGGGTGAGGAGCTGAGAGGCCATGTTCAGGAAGCTGGACTGATTCGTAGACAACGTATTTCATGTACAGTTCACAGTTTACCATGCTAACAGTATGGAAGTTTCCGAAAATACGGGACCCTTAAAATAGCTACCTAAATCGTAGGATCCTTATTATAAGGACCCCCAAAATAAGGTACCCCGAATTTTCGCTCTGAAGCTCCTATAGATGAAATCAAACGCACCAGCAGAGCCAAGAGACCGAACCGCAGCCGTCGCCCTTCTTGCAGCGACCGCGGTTGTAGAGACGACACCTCGGAAGCAGCACCTACTTTAGGGGCCATGATAATTGTCTATACTATTTTGGCGGGTTCGTTCTTATGACTATGGCATAACGGGCACCAAAACCATAGTCTAACTATTAAGGGGCCCTATACTACACATCATCCAAGCCCCAACCTCCTGAACCTCTAAACCACGAACCCAGATCTGATAGAGTTCAAGAAAGCAGCCCCAAAAAATCTCAGAAATTTCGATCCAAAGCCACGATCCCTGCTTCCGACCAGCTTCTCAACGTTGGGGGGGGGCTTGCACTTTGTTCGGGTTTCGCTTAGGGTTTGTTTCGCTTAGGGTTTAGGGCCTAAGCTACCGTGATGGGAACCGTTGTAAGATGAGCAGCCCTTGAAAGGGTTGGAGATGCCAAATCCCGTCTGAGACTCTCTCGCGCCCTCCTCCAGCTCTCACCAACACTTGGAGCATAAATAGCCAGAAACTCGACTAGACTTAACCCTAAACCCTAAAGCCAGACCTTGAACCCAACTAAACCCGCACCCAGATCCTAATCTCACGACCGACGCCCTAAACCCCAAACCCCAAAGCCCTAAATCCTATAGATCCTAAACCCCAAACCCAAAACCCTAAATCCTACAAATCCTGAACCCTAAACCCTAAGCCGAGGCCCCCCGCGGGCCCGGTACTCCTTTTTCTTCTGGCGGCCGCGGGGGCTGTGCCTCCGGGATGGTACTTCGGGCTCGGCTTCTCCAATTATGGAATTACTGAATACCTTTAAAGGGTTCTGTAAGGGTTCCTTTAAAGGGTTCTGTAAAGGCATAACAAGGGTCCATATATACTATTCTACATGTCTGAGAGATCCATGATCTTCGGGCTCGACGGAAAATGGTAAGCTTCGGGCTATAAAGGGCTTCTGGATCCAGAAATCAAAAACACAGGTGGCTTTGCGGGTTTCTGGTTAATCGTGTCGAGGACGATGACGGTCTTGGTCACCTTCGTCTGAGCCTTACTGGTCCGATTACAGAGTCAAGATACGAAGGACACCTTGCAAGCATCAGAACCCCGGACCAGAACTCATGCGCATTTTTTCTGGTGATGGGCACGATGGTGCTGGTGCGGCTAGGGCAACAACGAAGAACTCATGCTGTTGATGTTGGCGAGCATGCTTCAAATGGTGCTCGGTGAAGCGAGAGACAAGGCGGTCTTATGTAAGAGTACAGAGACAGGCACATCTTTCATGGAAGGTCGACCTGGCAAAGAAAGCCGTCGCGTGCCTCAAATTGCATCCGAAATCTGGACATTCGACACGTACATCACTCCCCAGAACAGTCGTGAAGGATGAACCCCATAAACCCATCATTCCCGGTGCGTCCTGCCACCCAACGAAGCGTGTCCCCAGGTAGGTTAGATCCAGCACCAGCTTGACACGGACCTTTCAGTGCTTCGAGACTCGGACGGGGGCTAATTAGAAATGCAAACCCCATAGGAAGCGAACATCTCCCAGCCGTCGGTCGACTCTACAAGGGGATCATGGGACGTAGCAAGAAATGGGTTATTATGGTTGGGGATGTAACTAGGATAGCTAGGGTTAGGCTGCCTGTCATCCCAACTACGAGCTACTTACTAAGGATATTGCGGCTGGAACTACACTGACTGGGGTAAGGGCAAACTCTAACTTAACCTGCTATCTAAGTCCTCTGACACTTTGAGATTCCAAAACCGAAACCCCCAAACCCTAAACTCCTAAACTCAACCTGAGCCCAAATCCCTAAACTACCCTGAAGGCTCTCTAGGGGCTATGCCGGGGCCGAGAAGCAGAGCCATCCCAAAATGGAATATATCTTGGGTACTGCCCCCATGTAGGAACCGCCTATGATAAGTAGGGCTATTGTCAAAGGTCTTGAAAATCGATATCATACATATTATGCAGCTGTTTCTGAGTGGGGCGGCATCCAAAATATACTCCAAGGCCCCTAAGCCCCAAATCCTAAACCTCAAAAGTTGAATTTCACCGTCACGGCAACCCTAGATCCAGACAGTCTCATATACCCCAACATTAAAGAATCCGAAGCCTTAAGCCCTGAATTCCAGTAATCATCCTATACATCCGTCCAAACCCTTAAGACCAACAATTTCAGTGTCAAACCCAGGATGCCGAGGGCGGCGCCATGATCTACTGGCCCTCGTCAGCACAGAGGCAGCCATGGCTTTCAGTACCCTCAAGGACCGACCAAAAACGCCAAAAGATTGCAGGATTCAGCCCCACAGTTCAGGGCTTGTTATTATTACTATTATTGTTATTGTTACTATTATTATTATTATGATTATTATGATGATGATGATTATTATTATTATTCGTATTATTTGTATATATTACCATCACTATTAGTAGCAGGCTTATGAGTCGAATTCTGGGTCTAGGGTTGCGGCTCATAGTTCAGATTTCAGGTTCGGGCTTTGGGTAAATCAAGCTTTGAAACACAAGCTTCTTGCTCGTATCCTGTATAGTATAGGATTTAGTTTTAGGGTTTAGGGCTTAGGGTGTACAGTATGCTTTTCGAGAGTCACTGGATGTTAGGGGACATGAGTCTTATCCGCGGAAGTGCTTCTCAGGCTGTCGACATTTCTTGGAAAGTGGGGCTTTAAGGTTCAAACACGCGGGTGTGCCGCTGTGGTTTGAGTTTGGGGGTTAGGCGGAGGAAGAGTTGTGGAGCAACATAATAAAGAAAATAATAATAATAATACTAATACTACAGAAAATAAGACATTACGGGCCCCATATTTACAGCATTACTGTTTTTCATGTTTTTGGTTTGCTTCAGATTTGAAGCAACATCACTCGTGCACACGATATGGTTATCCTCATATGCATATTCTTAAATAGGATACATGTACGTATACCCATACATGTGCACAAACAACAATGGTTATCACATGTCCAAAGTTTTTGTTTCAACTGTCGACATGACTATAGAGCAAGAAGTTTGACTCACTTCTTGGCTGGTTCAGGCCCTAAGGGCGAGAACACTGCTACTAAGGGGATGGCGGGGGGGGGAGAGGGGGGGGGCAAAAAAAAACAAAATATGGAGGGGGGGGCAGCGCAAAAATAAAAAAAACATCGAAAATCAAAAACTCCCCCTCCCCGGGGACAGCAAGCGACAGCCAACGCCATAGTGCGCCATACTGCAGGAGCGGACACCAACCAAGAGCCACATGATTCAATAAACCTGGTGTCCTTAGCCCATGCAAGCCTCACTACAAGTGAGTAGATACTGTATGCCGAATATTAAGATCAATAAGATTACATACTAACCAGATAAACATCTATAGAATCTATAAAAGACCTCAGAGACTTACTGCGTATAGAAAATTAGATATCGGAGATTACAGCTCACAAAGATGACAAACTATTTATGACTGGCACAACATCATATGACGAGGAGACCTTGCATTAACATACATTCGACGGATGCGAACTCACGACACAACCACCTCCTGAGCAATGCCAGGTGGACAACCTGTTGAAGGGTCTGTCGTAGTCAAGCGATAACAACAATGTTTGACGTCGCATATGATGTGGTAGCATATGCGAGGACATATGGTCGGTATATATGTCGGATGTCAGATACATGTATGAGCAGTCTCCTCGATAACATATACAACAAACACTGTCTTCGCCTTTCATTGGCAGGTTGCGATGTAAGGGATCCGAATCCAACTATCTTATAGGTGCATGAAAACGGGAGTTTGAATATTCCACTTGTGCGATGTTCGAGCAACATGGTGGGCTCTGTCGGGGAGGTTACAACTGGAAATCATTATTGGTTTATGTTCCTGTGATCAGGATCGGCTACTCGCAGTAATCTGAATATCACTATACCAAAACTGGCTAGATATGGAAACAATATATCTCATGACCACGTCATGGTGAAGTATCAATCTTCCCGTGAACCATGCGCATCATAGTATGATATGGCGTAACACACTCGTGCGCATGTAGCATGAGGTGCTAGGGAGATGCCATACGAGCTTGGCAAGCTCACGGGATGCACGAGGACATCTAAGTCAAATCTCATAGTGAAGATATGTGTCATGAGATGCTGCCTGCATCTTGCGACCTATTCATACTTAGCTGCGACTGTTGTAACTTCATGCGAGATTGGGTTTATGTGTGAGAATAAGTCTCCGGGCTTTTAGAAAGGTCTACCGAGGGGTTTAACCAATATGTGGTGCAATCCCGCTTGCCCGTGCGGCCGGAAGGCGTAAAGGGGGAAGCCCGAACGATGCGGGCATCTTATAAGGACACATACTGCGATGATCTATACGGATGGCTCAATATCATAATGATATGTTGAAGAAATTTCCTGGTGCTCTATGTTGATATGGCCATATTCAACACACAACATGCCTTTTACATCGAAGGAATGTGGCGAATATCATGTTCAACTGCCGGTTGGGTGCCTCATTATGACGGCTCCATTACTCTTGCCAAAACTGGCATGCAGCTGCCAATGTAATCTGCCATGTTTACTTCCACCACAAGAGATACTTGACTTCTTGATGATGTCACATATTAAAAAGTTGGTTTTAGGCATAGTATAGTTCTTATACGTTTTCTTGGGTAACAGGATTTAGTTTACGGAGATATCCACAAGACACACGATGAAGTGCGTCATGGGCTTTAACAAGACCATATCAGAATGGTTGCGGCATACAGGTGCATTGCCTGCAGCATAGATATAACAAGCGGTATCGTTTACAGCTGATGACAATCGTATGTGCGTGTCGGTGTATGTTTGTGTGTGCATGTGCAAATAATGTGTTTTCACGGCAGTCAACTTATGACTAGATGGTATGAGCAACAAGACAGCGAAAATGATTAATATTGCAGGTGGATCTCCATATGTCTGCATATACAATAATGATAGCAAAGCACCATCTCCTTGAAAAGTATATTAACTCAATTATATCCTTATCCTTTGGGGGCTTGTGGGCTTCAGCCGCAATGATCACTAATCTGAATAAGCCAGCATTGTAGCTGTCAGGATGTATACAGCAACATCCATGCGATGATTGTCTTCGAAGGTCGTAGGTTTTCATTTTTCTGGGTTGGCTTCTGTGAGAAGCTATTGCAATTGAAATACACAATTCCGCACACACAGCTCCAAATACTGGACAAATTATTGGACTGGGAGCTCCGAAACAAGGACAACCAATGCAATAATAATCGCAAACAATAAATACGCTTTTGAAGGAGGTTGCACTAAACAAGCTAGCATTCATACGAAAAAACGGTATCGAAACTGAATGTAGCAAAGACATCTATGCACATATATGTATATATGTACATATGCAAATGGATCCGGTAACACGATCCAGTTGATCGCCTGCATGTACACAGCTTGAGACGGTGGGAACCGTTTGAGCAACCTGCCTGTATGATGCCAAACTCAACTTGTCATGCTACAGTATATGCTGGACGTCTATATCCAAAATCATATGTTACCATGCACATGATGGGGCCTGCAAAAACCGGTAGGATATGTAAGCGATTCTTTACGTTGATATACAAAAGTTATATAGATTGACCGGTCTTGTACATCACTCAAGGGTGGAGAAATGCACGGTTTCGCAGACGCATTGTATATCATTTATCTGCAAGATTATACTATGAGACACAAAGAACAACCACAAGATTGAAGTGGCATTGATTTATCGGATAGTCTTCATGAGACTCCACAATGAAAGGTAGTCACACGTGCATCCCATGTTGATTGGAAAAGTATTTCCCATATCAGGCATCAAGAGCAACAGGGTTAAGTAAGCTTGAAAACCACTAGTATGCAAATTATGACGATTGTAAGTTTTTGTGCTGAAAACTCTTAGAAAACAGCATTTTGACTGGAAAATATGGGGCCCGTAATGTCTTACACTCTCCAATAATAATAATAATAATGCTGTTTTACGAAGACTCTCGGGCTTCGGTTCCATCCCTATTGGGCTACGGCCTGCGGCTAGGGTTTGGGTTTCAGCAGCTCGCATAACATGATGCTAGGCAGCCCTCAGTCAGCAACTGCCATCTCAAATCGGGTGAGCAAACTCTGAAAACGGCTTCGGCAGCTTTCCACGATCCTTATGTGAGGATTTAGCCCCACTTTCGAACACGCCTGACAAACAAACAAAAATGCATACCGGCGTGCGCTTTCCATACTATACGCCGAAGATTTACAGAACTGGGGCCCGGAAGACGATTCCCATCAGAGTCTCTGGGACCCACTTTCACATCAGTCATGTGAAGGCCCCCTGTGCCACTGAAGCCCGAAACTCCCAAACCCCCAACCTCCTTAAGCCCTTGAGGCTTTCCATTCCGTGAGGACCCTTTAGCGATAAGTGCACGACGAGGGGGAAGAGAGCCGCAAGAGCTATCCGAGATCACGGCTTCCAAGAGGAAGTAGTAGCGCACAGCCGCAAAACGCATCTGGCAGGCGCTTACGTTTATAATAAGGTAAAAGCCAGAAAGTTGGAATATGATTATCGTAGCCCCTTTATGGTAAATTATAAGGTATCCTACCATGAAACCATATTCCAACTTTCTGGAGTTCCCTTCAAGGTCTTGGGTATTTCAGAAAGTTTGGGGCTTTAGGGGTTTGTGGTTTGCGGGAGTGGAGATTCGAATCTCCCGCCTGTTTTGTGGGGCTTAGCGTTTAGGTTTGGGGTTTGGCATTTCGGTTGTAGGGATAAGTGATCGGCATCCGTATGTATGCATCCATGCACGGCTATATGGATGTATGGATGTAGGCGCGTATGCACACACGTATGTTTGTTTTTATGCATGTCTGTAGGTATGTATGCATTCATCTGTAACAATACCGCTGCAGATCTACACCAGATACATATGCATATGCATATGCACAGACATGTTCATGTATATGTATGTGTACAGGTACATATATACGTGTATATATATATATATATACACAGGCATAAATGAACAAAAACAGATAAGTATGACTATATATATATATATATATACATACATATGTACATAAACACATACGCATACACTTGCAGATGTACACAATTTTTGTGTGCGTGAGTGTGGATGGATGTTATGAAAAGATTTGTTTACACGTTCGACAGTGTCGAGAGGCATGTGTATGTGGGTCAGCC